AGAGAATTATTTTGTAGAGATACTGCTTGCAAACCAATGATGGTAAGATGATGTCATGGGGTAGGACTGGATAAGTCTGATTTCTTCCTACTCCATTCAAGCATGTACTAGGGATAAGCAAATTGATATTGGATTAGCATTTGTTGGATATGTGTAAAATTATGTGTGTTGACATATCAACTGTCTTTACATGCTTGAAAGAATAAATCAAATCAAATCAATTATGTAGATCACTTTAATTAATATAATGTGATTTTAACTATCTTCTATAGTTCTTATTTGAAATATTTTACATTTTGCCGCGTAGCTTTTATTTGTGCAGCAGTTCTAAAGATCAATATGCTAAATATTCCTTCAGTGAGATCTGACTATTTCTTTTCTAGGTTGTCTCACTGACATGATGTCCAGGGGGCAGCACTAAGGTAGGGAGGTGGATTTCAATGGCACTGGTCATACATAAAGTAGCTTCTCTCAGCATGTGGGTGAGGACGCTACAAAGAAGAGAGGCAGGTTAACAAATGAGTAAAGAATTATGGCAGGACTTTGTGGCCCTAGGAGACAGAGTGGGCTGGGATGTTCTGCCAACGCTTCATCTGCCAGGGTGAAGGATACACACTCACATTTATATCCACAAATGCACACACATTGTCATCTCTCTATAGCTCCATCCCTAGCCTCTGCTGTAGCTGTGTGTCTGAACAGGAACCCCACTAAGCTGGCTGGGATCCAGCACCAAGGTCTCTCACCTCGCAGGCTGGGCAGGGGGCCTGGTAGCTCCGGTGAGTTATTCCTGGGCGTGGACCAGGGTTCCACCTTTCTGTTCTCCTTTTGTCTCATCCACCCTCCTCTGGCCCATCCTGGCCTCCCTTTCTCCCTTATCCCCCTCTCTGGGACCCTGTGGTTGATGAGCCTCCTTCAACTATCAGCATCTTCTATTGTCTTTAACAGAGGGAGAGAGAGGATTTATATAGCTAAGCTTACTTGTGCATCTGTGTGGGCAGACATGTTGAGGTCACCTCCTTATACTTACAGTCTGCAGTGTTTTATTAGTATAAAGTTCATGGATGACTTATCTAAATCTTTTTTTAACATTATCCCTTAATTTTCTCACAAAGTGTATTTAAGCTGATTAAAATCTTAAAGAAAGAAACAAATTCAAAGAGAACGTTTTGGGGTGTGATTAGAGCTGACACAATGAATCAGTTGGCTGACTAACAGAAAAGCAGCCACACCTATTATAATGTAATACACTAAACTATTGGTAATTATGAATCATGTAATTGATTCTCATACCAGACACTGTTTTCTTTTTTGTTTTATTTTGTTTATGCTAAGAAGTCCATGTTAAAGCCATTTAAAATTAAAGCCTCCTCTGCCAGTTTCTATGCAGGACAGCATTATATTAAATTTGTGTTAGGCTTGATTTTGCCACTAGATGTCACTGAAATAAAAAACAACTGGACTCAGAACATCAGTGCAAAACAAATTTTTTCCAACCAGCAACAAATACAGTTGCAGAAAAAATACATTAATTAAAAAATCTAATCAAGAGGCCAAGTTTAAAAAATGGGACTTCATGAGACTCCAAGTTTTCAATATATCAGTATATCCTTTTAGTGAACTCCAAAGTAAACAGAACAACAGTGTACCTGTACAACAAGGAATTCAATCAATCGTCAATCATCATCTCCCAATGAACTGTGCTTGGCACCTTGAAGAAAGTTGTAGACAACTTGTGAAAGCAGACAATATATTTAAACACTGTAATAATTTACACAAATCAATACCACTTAAAGAAAGTTGTTCACATCACACCGAGGGCAGTGGATGTAATACATGTTGATGTCCAGCCAAATTGATGAAACTGAGAAATTTTTATTTATTTTGGTTGTTTTGTGATATTTCTACATCCTACTGATGGTTTGAAAATAAAAGCAAAAGACTGAAATTGCAGCAATGCCCCCAGCATTGAACTTTCTAGACAGTTAAATGCAATAGTTTAGAAGGCACACACTTTGTTGATTTTTGATGTGAAAATAGCTAAATACAACCTCCACAGCAGCAACAGACATAAAAATAAGCCTTTCTTCAAATTGTAATGCATTGTTACATTTCATAAATTTAAAAAAGTAAAACTTTAAAAGTCACTATGGCATGCAAAACCAACTGGACACCCTACTAGTCAATGTTTAATGACCCCCATTTTGGACATATCACAGCTTTTATAGGTACATTCACCCACTCCTTCTCAGATCATTTTAGGTTCTGAGATATTTTAATGCTGATTTACACACACGACACTTTTAAGACTGAGCCACAAGTTTTCAGTGACATTCAAGTCTGTGGGTGCCATGCAGTAGGGCGCCACCTTTCCTGTGCAGCTAAACTTCCTGCAGCTCCTTTTCCATCAGATGAGGGTTTTGTTTTGCTGTTCTCCCCAGAAAACCCGCAGTCTGAAAGTTTTCTTGGTCTTCCAGATCTTGTTTTGATTTCTATTACTGCCATTTCAGACAGTGGTAATTTCAAGCTGTGAAGGTGCCAGTGTTTGAAGAGTCAGAGAATTTATCATCAGCTGGCAGTACCTAATGACCTGCCTAACAAGTTCTGATAAGTTAAAGAAATTCTGGGTGTTTTTGTACATGTCACAATATTTATTAAATGGAGGAAATGAAAAGTAACAATGCATTCAAATTTAAAAAAGACTGGATGTTTGCTGCAAAGGTTGTATTTACAAAATGGCTGGGGTTCCCTAACTTTTGCATACAGCTGAATAAAAATAAACAACTAATAACTCAAATGTAGTGAGCCATGTTTTCTTAATACTCATGCACTCATCGATGACAACAAATTAAATCTAAACCTGTATTAGTCTAGGACCAGATGATAAGATGATATAATAAAAACACGATACACTCTGCTTTGAAGCAGCAGCCTCAGCATCAGTACCACGCAGGAGAGTGGACAGCTGATGAGTTCCCACTCTGATCCTATTTTCCGGTACCAAGAACGTGTGAGCTACTTACTGGACACAATTAGCTTATAATAATAAACATACAGTTTATGATGAGTATTTGTTATATATCCGCTGTCGCAGTTTATTTGGCAATGATGTTGAGCGTGGTTACATTAATTAGTTAAATTGTGGAATGAGATTGCATGTGTGAAAGTTGACGCCCACTTTTTTTCAGACAAGTTCATCAGTCCAAGCCCCGACACAGACGATCTATGTCGTAGTGAGATTACTTAGGTTACTTTTACAAATACATTCCCCTATAAAATAATATCTGGCATGAACGTAAATCAGGCGATAACATCACAATCACTTGGTATTACTGTAAAGTGTTTTAAGCATTTGGCTCCGCTTTAAAAGAAAAAAAACACAACAACAAACAAAAACGACAAAGTAAGAACAATTAATTATACAGAGTCCCCCGCTTTGCCATGTGATGGTACAGTCCATCGACGTCCTGCGCGGGAGCGGAAAACGTGCATCACTGCGGAAAAGAATCGGTGTGTTTTTCGGGTAGTAATTTGTGCTATTACAACAATTTACTAGTAATTTTCGGATTTCTTCTAGACGACTCCACACACTAGAGGTGAAAGAAGGCGATAGTTGTGGTTTCGGTAGCTTTAAATAGCTACAAGCCAGCTAGCCTATCTGCTATTGACATCTTGTTAACTTGGCTGTTAGTGGTTGTTAAGCGTGAGTGATATTAGTTTGAGCACAGTCAGTGGCTGTGTATAAAGTTGGAGTATTTCTTTTCATATTTAACATGACTGTCATGTTTAAATGAACTGTGGACTTTGAAGGATGTGGGTGGTAGGAGCAGGAGCAGGAACAGGAACAGGAACGCCAAATGAATGTGTACACGTTCCCCCATGTCTGTGCAGATGCATCACAGTCGACTAGCTGATAGCTAATAGCTATGCTAAGCTACGTATTTACATGTTTGTATGTTTCAGCTTGGTAACACGTCCAGCATGGCTCGGGACTGGAAACCTGGCGATCTGATTTTCGCCAAAATGAAGGGTTATCCCCACTGGCCTGCAAGAGTAAGTCTGGGTCTTGTTCATAGACCAGTTTATATAGCTCATAGTACATTTGATTAGAGCTGCAGCAATTAGTCCATAGAAAATTGATTAGCTGCCTGGTAGATAATCCAATAATTACCCCCCTTTTTAAGCAAAAACGTCAATCATTTGCAGCTTCCATCTTCTAAATTATCTCATAAAACAGTCTTTTGATTTGGTTCTTGATTAACTGATTAACCATAATCAGTTTCTCATTATGTTTACTAGAACATAAGCAAAGCTTCACAGTTTGGTAGCTTGTAATAATGCTTGTAATAATGAATCTTTGTTTGAAAATGTACTTTTATTACAATTAATTGATTAATAATGACTGTTAATTGACTAATTGCGCTAGATTTGGTGCATTTCTTTCTTGCACACGATCCTAAACCGAATATCTTTATGTTTTGGACCACTGGACTGACAACACGACATTTGAATCTGTAAGATTGTTGGAAATTAGACCAGGTATTTCCCAGTCCAGAAAATAATCGTTACTTGCAGCCCTGCAAAACCACAGAAACACACTTCCTAACTATTTAAATGCCTGAGAAAATAGAAACTTGTTCAGTCTTCCTTTGAGTGTCGACACTGTACTGATAAATAAGTCTTTGATTGTTGTTTTCATGGTTAATCATTTTGCCTAAGACAGTTAATTTCCTTGAGGCTAGTATGCTTTATTTAAATGGCATGTCTGGTCCAACCAACTGTCCAGAACCCAAAGATAATACATTTTTAGTCATATAATGTAGTTATCAGAATAACTGGTGATTCATTTTCTGCCAGTCACCTATTGATTAGTCAACAGTTGCAGCTCTAATGATGACTTCATGTTGTTTATGGCTGCAAATAAATATTTGCTTCCTTTATTCTCTCTCACAGATCGATGAAGTCCCAGATGGCGCTGTAAAACCTTCCAATATCAAGTACCCCATCTTCTTCTTTGGCACCCATGAAACGTTAGTAATTACTACTTTTATCATCTCTTTTACTTTGACTTATCTTTACCTACTTAATAGGCAAAGTTGCATTTAATATTTGGGTTAATACGCAGCAGAAAAAATTGTAAGACAAATATGAAAGCCACAATTTTGTGCACAGGTAAAACCGAATTGTAAGTGAGCATCATAAGAAGCAATTCTGTCTCTGCTGTTTCTCTAAATATATAAATGTTTGATGGGTTTCTGATTAGAGGTACTTGTATATTTTGTCTCTGTATCCTCTTGCACAATCTCACAGTAAACACTACGTGTTTAATGCTTCACCAAGTATTAATTGGATAAACATCCTGAAAATAATTTCCACCAGAGCATTCCTGGGCCCAAAAGATATATATCCATACCTACCTAACAAAGAGAAGTACGCAAAGCCCAACAAGAGGAAAGGCTTCAATGAAGGACTGTGGGAGATTGAAAACAACCCAAAAGTTGAGCTCACTGCACCCAAGGTAGGTTTTCCACCTCTTTGTTTTCTCCAGACATTTATCAGGATTTCTCCCCCAGATTTTGGCCCCGGGTGTCGGCTTGATGTCGCGTTACCTCCCTGAGTTTGACTTTAATTTTGTGTTTGCTAGGGCTGCACGATTATGGCAAAAATCATAATCCTAATTATTTAGTTAATATTCAGATCATGAATTATTTAACACAGTTAGCTTCCCCATAGCAACTGCTTCAGCCTCATGTTGGACTGGAAAGTGACTGTCTCTCTTCATATATGTTTACTAGAAAAAACCCACCATTGCCAAGTTGTCATTTAATACTTTTTTTCCTCCCTATTTTGTCTGAAGCCAGTTCCTCCCGAATCTTTCACTGAAAAGGACTCAGACAGCAGCCCAGAGGGAGAGGAGGATGCAGATGACAAAGGGATGAAATCCAAGGTCAGTTTTTACTCTACAAATCTGTACAAGTAAATATGTAACCAGTTCACTGCATTGACATGCTGCTGGTTTGTCTCGGCTTCTTTCTTCTTTTGCTCTTTCTGATTTCTCACTGTCTGCTTCATCATACTGAATTACATATTCCTGCAGCTTACAAATTATTAGTTTATTTTGTATTAATAGATTAAAAGGCTTGTATCATAAGAGTAGTGGATACTCGCTAACTTTTCTCCCTTTGACCACACTGCATCCTACGCTGCATCTTGGGTGCATTCAGGTTCCAGGAAGTGAGGCTGAGCACAAGAATGAGAATGAGCAGGAGGAGCAGGAGGAGGAGGAGGAGGAGGAGGAGAAGGAAGGGTCTCTGATCTCTGAGCAGGGTCCTCAGAACCAGGATGTAGGTACTTTGCATGCTGGGATACCATAAAGTGGTGCACGGTGCCTCGTCTTCTGCTGGGGGAAAGCATGCGACACTTAGTGGTTTTTCAGTTGGTGGTTTGTTTCTGTTTGACTCGGTGGCCACAAAGATTTGTCAGTTTTTGATGTTTTAATCGAAATGCCTGGTCTGGATTTGTTGTGTTGATGCCACTGAGGTGGTGACTTGTTCACAGGCAGTGGGAATTATGTGACAAAGCAGTCCCTGTGTTTCCAATGAAATAAGATTAAAGAACATCAGCTGTTGTACTAGTCTGATGAAAATGGAGCTAATGTCTGGGGACAATAACTCTGTGTGTGACTGTAATGAAAATAGAAATGTTTTTTTCTTCTCCTCTGTTTTACCTCTCTGAGATCACCCTGGCAACATGGCGCTTTCCATTTCCTGCTTCTCCTTTTCCATATATTGTGTAATTACACTGTTTGCAATTAGTTAATCATAATTTAATTTTTGCATGGCTGTCTGTGTGCTTTGGAGAAAGGTAAGTTGTGACTAAGTTAATTGCTTCACATATTTTGCACAGGCTGAGAAGGACTAATGTTTTTATATTTATTTTTCCCTCTGCAGTATTTTAACAAGTCATAACCTGTGTCCCAATTCTCTACGACATACTGATTCATACTGAAGTTATCTTAATCAAAAATGTCAGTGTTTAGAGATGGGCAGGTGATACCGAAGCTTGTTTCACTCCACTGAAGCGCAATGTTTCAATACATTGTATCAAAAGAAGAAAACCATGAGTATGATGATGTCTGAAGCTTCAGATCTCGCTGCTTCTTCAGAATACACTTTACTGAGTTAGAGATTTTATTCCATCCCAAGGCATAAACCTTTTTCAACACAAATGGAAAGAAAGCCTCATAGGGCTTCCTCCACCCATCACTACTGTTTTCCAACAACGCAGTGCACAAATCAGTTTATATCTCAACAAAACAAAAAAGTTTAAAATCTTTAGAAAGGTGTTTTGATTTCTTAACAGTGCGAATATGTAGCGTGAAAGTAGGACACAGTTAATGTAATACTGCATAGAGTGTAATTCCAGAGTTGTACACTAGATGGTGATCAAATAGTCCAAGATGACCTGACAAAACACTAAGTTGTCCTCTTGTTGATCTTTACATCTGACTTTCATTTTGTTCTCCTCTTATGGAAGCAACTTGATGATCTGTTTTGGTGATTTGTTGGTGATCTGTTTAAGAAAAATACAACAACAGCTAAAGGTTGAGGCTTTGGACCAAAACAAAATTAACAGATGGTGTTGCATTTTAGGGTGCAGCTCAGAAAGAATCCTCAGATGTTCCTAAACCCAAGAGGGGAAGAAAGAAAAAGGTTGGTTGTTTTTATTAATGCAGTTCATGTAAAACGTATGAGTTTGTTGAGATCATTTTATAAGATGGTGTGTTCTCTTATTTTCCTAGAGTGATGCTGACCAGGACACTGAAAAGGACGATGCCCCTGTTAGTCCTTCAGGTAGGTTGTGTTTAGGTATAGGTGATGGGAAGATGCATCATTCATTGCTGATGGTTGACACCCAGAAGTGTTAGAGAAGTGTTGGTACAACTGTATGAATATTTTGGAGGATGTAGCAGGCAGTGCTGTTGAATTGTATTGCACTGAATTTAAAGGATGTTGTCACCGTCTCAGATTTTATTTCAGCAGTACTGTAAGTAGAGTTCTTTTCCTGTGTGTGTCCATCCCTGTGATCAGGTGCAGAGGGTCCTAAACGAAGAGGCAGGAAGCCAAAAAGTGAGAAGTTGCTTCTGCTCCAGCAGCAGGACCAGCAAGGCTCAGGAAGTGAAATGTAACTACACAATATGAGTATGAACACAGAAAATTCCTGTGCACCACTTTTGCCTGGGTGCTGTGATTTATTTTGAAGAAACTGCTCCTACTTTAACAGATGTAAAGACCAGTGTAAAGCATTTTGATCTAAAGTTCACTCTGAACCTTCATTTACAAACAAAACTAGTTGATATGGGTTTGACTATATTCATGGAGCAGCTATATTTTAGTTGTTAGTCGTTTCATCTTCAGATAAAGACTGTGAAGAGTGTGTAGTTTTGACTTTCATTTGCCTTCGAAGCCTCCAACAAATACTTTTCCCACATTTAGGGACCCTGCTGAGTCAGACAGAAAGAGAAAGCGGTCACCAGAGGACAAGTCCAAGAGTGTAGAGGAGGAGAAGAGAAAGAATAAGGAGGACAGCAAAGGGAAAGATGCGGAGGTTAAGGAGCCTGAAGCAAAGAAGAAGAAGCAGTCTAAGGACGACAGCTCCTCTGGCTCTGACGATGAAGAGGCAAGTGTCCTGTCCGTGCCAACATCTTCACAGTTCAGCAGCAGCAGAACACCCATGTGTTTTCAAAGGATGTATGATTCTGTCATCTGCGTGATTTTCATTTTGTTTTTGTTTGTTTTTTTCCATCTCAGAAAAACAAAGGCAGAAAGAAACAGCAAAATGCAGAAATAGACAAAGATGCACGGCGGCGGAAAGCAGATGAGATGAGAGAGTAAGCTTTTCACACTGTTGCATGTTACCAGAGCAAACTTGATATGTTCATGTTCCTCCTTTGTCCATTATTTATTTACTAGCTACTGATGCTAACACTCATTGGTGATGGAAAGATTTCTTTCTGTCTTGCAGGTCAAACAATGTAGGGACCAAAAACGAAGAGAGGACAGTAGTTAAGAAAAAAGGTAAGCACAGTAATTTAAAGTTACAGCATGTAACTCATACTGCTAAGCAGAAGTAAACTAGCATAGTGGGACAGACTTACCAAAAGTGTTTGATACATGCAGCAGGCTTGAGGCCTGGTGTTAGCATGAGCAAGCTAACATGAGGGCATAGTGTTGCTTATTGTGGGGCTCTGATGATTTGTGGCGGCATGGCCTGACACCCCTCTCTTTGGGGCCCAAATAATGGGTACACATCATTTAACTTGTATACTGAGCTTCTATATGAATGCTCTCCCGTTCTCTGGCACATTCAGTTGTGTATTATTGACTACTAAGCTGAATACTTTTCACCTTTTTTCTTTTCCTCAGAAATGTCAACAGACTTGAAACTCCAGAGACTCCACAGCGAAATCAAGATTTCACTGAAAATTGACAACCCTGTAAGTTCTGCTGTAGCGTAGATGTGATCAGTGTTGGATCATAAATGAATCATATCTCAGACATTTTGCATTGCTCACAACGTATGTAATAAATGTGTTTATTCTGCTGACAAAGACAAAAGACGCTGTACTTTGCTGCAGTTTTTCCATCTCAGTTGTCCATAAAATGCTGTAAAACTAGATTTCCATTCTTTAAATGTAATATGCATTTTATAGACGTATACTCCCCTCTTCGTGGTTTTGTTGCATTATTTAATGCAGCTCAGAATTCCTTGTGTTGTGGGTCATTATCCTACAGGACGTTACCATGGTACTCCCACTCTCTGTTTGTTATGTGAACCGCTGCATTGCTCTTTGTGTTACACTGAATTTTGATCTGTTGGTGCATGACCTAAATAGTATAAACACATTAGGTTCTTTGTGAAAAAGGAGCTTGTCACTGTAATGAGTTTATTGAAACTGGGCCACGAAGAGAGCTACTTTAAGCAGGCCGATGTTCTTCCCAGTATAATTTAGGGAACTTTGTCTTCAGTTTTTTTATGGATGAGTAATTTGGATAATTGACTGTTTCTACAGCTGTTCATTTTGTTCTGTACTTACTTTACTCTTTCTAAATGATCATCCTTTTTTCCTGCCACCTTTTTGCTCCCGCCTCACTAGGATGTGAAGAAGTGTTTGGAGACGTTGGATGAGATTGGTGCTCTTCAGGTCACGACCCAGCACTTGCAGAAACATAGTGAACTCATCGTCACACTCAAAAAGGTAGACTCCCTGATCCAAAATGCATTTAAAGTAAGACAGTTTCAAACTGAACAACCAAACTACACTAGGCTTGTGTTCTAAGATGATGTGTGATTTTATTCATGTTCTAGGTTCGCAGATTCAAGGCCAACCAGGACATCGTGGACAAGGCCACCATGTTGTATAACAAGTTTAAGACTATGTTTCTGGTTGGAGAAGGGGAGTGTGCGCTCAGCCAGGTGCTCAACAAGTCTTTAGCTGAGCAGCGGCAGCATGAAGAAGCCAAGAAAGGAGCACTGAAGAGAGCTGAACAAGCCAGGGAAAACGACTCAGGTACTGGTTATTATACAGTAGCTTCAGAATGTATTCAGACCCCTTCACTGTTTGCACACTTCATTGTGTTGTAGATATAATTGTAATTTGCCCCTTCAATCTATAGTTGGTAATCTGTAATGATAAAGGGGTGTGAAATCCTCATAAGACTGCAGTAGATTCTAGACATGCACCAATACGATACCAGCATCAGGCCCAGTACCACCCTCTACACCTCCAGTCATAAAAGCGGTCTGATACAATGCACCAATACCACTTACTGGTAACTTTACATTAACCTCATCCTGGATGAGCGGGTCATTAGGCGGATAAGGAGTTTCTTAAGATGAGTGACGCTGACAAAAGTAAAGCTGATTGCAAGCTCTGATCTGTGTCTGTCAAGAGTGATGGGAAGGGAGGGGGGCCACTCACGGACACACACAAGTCCCAACAAAAGTCCCCCCTCCCACCACCACCACCTCTGCTGTCATTTTCTCTTTTGTTTTGCTTTTCTTTTCTGAGAACCTGAGTTTTGTTGAAGTGAAGTCTACCAGAGGTGGGGAGGGGCGGGCTAGATGTTAAAGTTTGACCTTACAGCAGCGTAACAGACCAAACCTTTTTTCCTTTTGAATTATGGGGGGAAGGTAAAATAGTTTTTGACCACTGTGTCAAGGAAAGTTAGGAAGAGTAAAAATAACAAGTTTTTTTTTTATGACTCACAAATACTGTATCTAGTTTCCACAAACAAGGTGTTTTAAAGCTGGTAGTATTACAGCATATATCAGTTAAATGTCATAATGGTGAGAGACGGTTCGGTCGGTTTTGTCATACGACATTTCTGCGGGTTACTGGTAAATCGGTTCCGGCCAGCTGAGTCACAGATGAAAGCCAACCAGAGAACGGAGACATTTCAGTCGCTTTCTTCTCTTCTTTGTAGGAGGATGTCATTGGATGTCTGTGGTGAACTTTCTCATTAGAAACAACGAACAGCTTTGCAGCCACAACACTGCTTTAGTGATTAATTTATCTGATGTACGTACTGTACTTCCACCAAAAAGACAACCTCTATGACTGGTCCCTTTCTAAAGCAATGCATCCCAAATGGATGGAAAATTGTATTTATCTCACTATGGTCTGGAACTCAGCATGCGTCGTCACAAGATCCTGTGAGCTCTCGCCACTAGCTGTGGTTGTGTAGTCTGTCTGTCTGAGTCTCTGTCTCCCTCTACTATTTAAAGACAAGATGACAAATGGTGATATGAGCCCTGAAGACAAGAAGCAGGAGACGGAGAGGGAGAAGCTGCTTGAAGATGCCTCAGCAGGAGAAAATCACAGGTACAGACTTTGTCTGTAGTTTCTCTGGAGTTTCCTTCAAGTGCTACATGACAGATGTTTCAAATACATCATACACACATAGAAATAAATATGTTTTAGCTAGCACAAAGTATAAATATAAAAACATTTTTTCAACAAATCTAAAAAAAAAAAAAAACAGCAACGTCTCTCATAGAGTTGAAGTCCTGATGTCTCCTCCAGGCCAACCTCTGTTCCACCAGCTTTTGTTACTCAGTGCACTGAGTGTCTGTTGTTGAGTGTTTTTGTGTATAAAAACATGTTCCAGGGTTTCCTGGCACTGCCACACTTACCTAATTGTAGTTTTTCAATGTTTTAACTTTCTAAAAACACAGTGTTATTGCAGTCATGTCTGATTACCCACAGACATTCAACTTGCCCATGGATTCTCTTCTGTTGAGCATCTGCATTGGTCCAGAGCTCATCAGTGGTGATTGTTAAAGGCTGCTAGCAACAGAAAGATTGAATAAACAACATTAGATTGCTTTTTTTATTTTATTTATTTTAAATGACAGTCCCAGAAGTGAACACCACAACAAACTGCTGGGAAAGGCTTGAGACTGGGCTACAAAGGCAGAAAGAGTCAGTTAAATGTTGGCTTTGGTGTTTTAATGGGATTTACTGACAATAAGGAAAATATAAAATGTCATCAACCTTTTCCTCAACTGTCTTCAATTAAATCAGTTTACCATTTAAACCGATTTATTGATCTCCTCTGACTGCAGTGCCCCAAAAGGTCCAGAAGAGTCTGCTTGAAGAAAAGGCCGGACATTTGCTGCTAGTACTCCTTTGTCCAAACTGCACTCACTGACTGAAGTCTGCTGTTCCTTGTGATGACTGATAATGATCACTGGTTTCCACTTTACTTACTGACAGTGTTGCTGCTCAAACGTTTCTCTACATGAAACCCCTCCACCCCCAAGGTCATGACTGGTTACCCATTTTATTTTTGTACTTTAAAAGTCAAATGTGTAGATCTGCAGCACTGTGAAATTAAACCTTTGTGAGCATGCTCACAGAGACGGGGTTAACACTGTCCTATTTCTCTTTTAGACTAAATGCTTTTGATTGTGACCTCTCATTTCAACTCATGACATTTACAGAATTGGCAGTTTGTAACTTCAGTTACAGATTATATAAAGTACAGGGTTTAGCTGTAGTTAGATGTATCATGTCTAATAATAGTGGCTTTCATAGATGAACATTCACTTCAGATGCATGAGTAAAACATCCTCAAGTTTGGTAGTTTTCTTTTGCCAAGAAAATTCTTTATTCTCAACCATGGTCAAGTGTCTGTTTTAAAGTTTTCTTTTAACACAGATGTAAATAAGAGTATTTGGTGCCTGTCTGACCAGTTTTAGCATCCAGTAATAAAGTAGTACATGTGATTCACCTTGTCTTTAATGTTTCACACTGATGACCCCGATGTTGCTGTTGTGGACTGATCTTTTTATGCAGCCACTTTATATCAGATATCATCAATCAGTTTATATCTGAATCAAACAGGTGCAGTTTATTACTTATGGATTTAATGTTACAGTGACACACTTATAGAATTATATACCAGTGCTTTGCTGCCCTGGCTGATTTCACCTGTACATCACTGCAGCAAGGTGAGAAATTAACACGCTTGCAAGACCAAGATTTTTAGTTGGTGTCGCATTACTCTTTCTGATTCAAAAGTTTTCAGGAGCTTTAAGGTAAAAAGAGTGACATTACACAGTTGCAGCCTAGTAATAACTGCTGATTGCTGCACTGTAAAGCATTTCAACTGAGTTGTTTACTGAGCATCACATCTTTAATGAATGGTTTACAAAGTAACCTAAATAAGCTTGTACATAAAGACGGATACAGTTTGTACTGGGTTGTCGATAGTGCGACAAACACTCCAATGAATGTCAGTAGGTTGTCTTTTCAACGTATGGCTAAAGGTGTTTCTATAAAGGTGAAAGTAGTGAATTGACCCGCTCACAATCCACTTGACCAGCACTGTACAACCACAGATGAAACAAGATCACCACAAAATAAGTCTCAGGAAACACTGCTGTTTATTTTGAACAGAACAATATTAAAACTAAAGCATTACTGTACATATGGACATCATTTTTAAAGAAAATACACATTTCCTTCTGAAATACAAAGATGTAACTATTATACCGCATAAAATTGGTGACCTAAGCAATTCACTAAAGAAGAGCTTTAGTTGAAGGCACCTCGGTCCACATAGGGATAGGCCAGGAATTGTCCCAGCTTTTTGCCTTCGGCATCGTAGTGCAGCATCCGGAAACACTTATCGCAGAAGAGACATGGGTCACATGGAGCAAACTGGTCATTGGTAGTAAACCATCTGCAAGAGCCACAGAGATGTTAAATGTGTACTGACTCAGATTTAAAATACCACAGTTGTTTATGCAAATCCACATTTTTACACACCTTCCAATGAAGACATGGCAAACTGCGCACTTCTGGGTGGCGACCCTGTGCTTGTGTGTGAGAAGTGGATACAACTTCTTGTCCAGGCAGTCGTTCTTATGGACGAGTCTGCAATGTGTACAAAAAAAGAAAGAGACTGGAGCTATTTCTTAGAGGCCTTGAGTGATGAGAACCCAGATTTGTATCATGTGTGGTTACCCTTCTCCCACCAACAACCAATCAGCTCATAGACATTTATGCCACCATTAATGTGATGAAACCAAATGAGGTCTTGTGAGAGCGGGCCAGTCTTGTGGTGGTAATACAAAGCTTCAGAAAGCATTATACTGTACAGTAGCTGACAAAAACCACACAACCATACAAAATCTTAGTAGTATAACATGATAAGGTAGAGGGAATGGTCCAGGGTTTGATGGGAACATTTTCCACAGCTCAAAACAAAACACCTAATTCATACTTAGTTGCAACAAGTTAAAATGACGCTGGTCATTGCGTGGGTATTTTGACTGTGGCAAATGAGTACTTCGCTGAGTAAATTTAAGTTCATGGCCTGGAGAAAAGTACTTCAACTATTAATACATTAATAGACCAACAGTTTTGATAATTTGTCAAATTAATTATCAAAGAGTGAATCATTTATCAAACAAAAATGCCCCAACATCTCAAATATGATTTGCCTCATCTCTGTTTTATATTTTTTTTTTTAATTGAGCACCTTCAGTTTTTAGACTGTTGCTAGAACAAACAAGGACTGTGAAAACCTCACATCTGAAAAATTATTCATAAGGACACAGTACGTGAGTCTGTGTGTTGAATACTGACTGACATATCAACAGTAAAAGAAAACTGTAACCTTGTTGTGATGAGCAGTCAGCCATTAAAGATGGTGTCTCAGGAAATATAACTAAGTTTATCAAATTATCCACAGTGACCAAGACCCCACACACTGTTTTACAGTTCAAAACTAATTTTGAGTGGGTTTTGAAAGACACTGGATCACACAACTGAGCAGCTGCTGAGCAATGGTAAAGAAAGCACAGCACTAACCTGACATCTGTGAAAATGACCAGATGTTCGCAGTCTCCCTGATGACAGTAGAGGTATGGGAAGCCCACTTTCACTTTCAGATCCATGAACCGTGTGTCCTCCATCTTGGCCTGTCTGTAGGGTGGAAATTTGCAGGCCTTTGCCCATTCGATAGTGGTCCTGTAGTTTGAAACACCAGAAAATACAGCACAAAAATAGACTTTTGAATGTTAAGTCAGTTTGACTTATATAGCCCAAAATCACAAGTTAACCTCAAGGGGCTTTAGGAACTGTGCAGCATACAAGTTGGATAAGGTAAAACTTTTAAAAACTTACATGCTGATGTCCTGACATTCAGGGAATCGCATGTCATTGTAAAAAACGCCTTCAAAGAAAAAAAACGCTGACTTGAAATGATCCTAAAAGCAGGACACATACAAATATTATCTATAGGTTTTTGTGTCCGGTCTTATTCACAAATATTGACAAAATATGACCTTACAATAACACACAAAAGGTGCTTACTTTGCTGACAAAGTCTGGGGCGATGTCCGGTGTGTTGCTGAACTCTCCATACACTTGCAAGTCGCTGACACAACATATGGCATCCCTGAGCTCTGCCAG